CACATGATTGATATTGTAGCTATTTGACAGCTTATTAATTAAATCGTATATGCTTGACATATATAATACCTACACTATAATTTACTGTTTTGATGTAAAAACGAACTCCCTAAAAAAAGATGTAAAAAAACGAAGAACGACAGTTACACATCATAATTAATTATCATCAATTGTAGTGATAAAGAAAAACCAAAATGGTGGTTTAATACGGTGGTATAAAGTATCAAAACATGTTTGATATTAACTGTTCTACTGACAAATGCAATTAACACGACGAAGCGTATGAACAAATTAAAACTTGAAATCATACACCAACTAAAGCGTGAATCTAAGATTACTTGAACTAGGTTCTAACATTTAACTAATTGATATAGACCGAAGCACTATTGAGATCTTTCGTAGGAGTATTTATCATGGACCATGATTATTGCATTAAACTTCAAATATTTATTTACATATTTTATCTGAGTTTTTTTTTATCCATATTTTATCTGAGTTAAGATTTGTATATTTAAGAGTTGCATGTGGCATAACAGTTTCGTCTTACAAGACTAGTTACTTTCTTGATACAGTATTGTTAGTATGTATAAGAATTTTTGTGACAAAAAAAAGTATGTATAAGAAAAAGACAATATATTCTATATTTGTCCGAGGTTTATATGAGTGTACACCCATGAAATACCCTGCATGTTGTAAAATATTTGCGATGATAACAAAACAAGGTAATCTGACCAAAAGGTGAACAGATTATGAAATTTAGATAGAAAGCAACAAATCAAAATTAATAGATTGTTTTTAAAGCAAAGTGTTATAAACAAAGGAGGGACTACAATGTCTTTGATGTAAGTTGGGTATTAAAAAGGGGGAAAAAGAAGGCGGCAGTTGTAACGTTAAACATTATCCACCACCATCATATTCATATGATGTGACATTACTAGATAAGATCTTCGTGTGATTGCTAAATAAAATTTTTAAATCCCATCATTTCTTTTAACAGAAAAGTACTAAAATTATTTCAACGACGAAACATATCAACAAATTTTATTTGTATATAAAATCAAAGTCCTTGTGAAAATGAAAACCGAAGATACTTTTTATGGGGAAACAAAACGAAAAGTATTGCTATTATTATAGGGCCATTCCGATAGGAATTGCACAAACTCGATAATCCAGAAAAAAAACAATGTTCATTTTTTATTAAAGATAAAACTAAAAAGCAAAGAAAAGATGGCACGTAATGGCCATTCTTATTCTTATCCATATTACACTTGCATCATCGATTAAAGGAGGGATAAGGAATGAAAATGTCATTTGTTTTTGTTTCTTCTACATAAATTTATGTAGAGATTGTTCATCTGTCAGTGGACCTACGAGAAAGAAAAAAAGATACTACCATATAAGATAATCTTATTTCCATAACATTTCATCTATCTATATCAGAGTACTTTAAATATTCAGTTTTTTCTCATTGATACGAAACATCATCTCTGGAACAACCAAACAAGTGTATTACACATTTCGTGTGAGACAAAAATACCTTTCATATGTAATATCTCCAGGATAGAATAATATGGGTTATATTATAAAGTATATATGTACTTTTAAACTATGTCTTTAATTATTATGGGAGGATGGAAAATAGAGAAGGATGTATTAACAGAATGCTTGTAAAGAAGGCAAAGCTAGAAAGTGTTGAAAACAAAGCCGCAGTAGCATTTGGTAAGATATCTTCAATGGAAAGAAAAAATTGAATGAATGAAACCTACATCAGGAAACATTCTCTGCCACCTTCATTCCAAACAAATTTTTTTTCTGCCACCCATTACCTAATGAGATGAATTCAAAGACTAGAGAGACAATTATGATCAGTTGACCAGAAAAAAAAAAGAGAGAGAGAGAGACAATTATGTCTGAATTGAAAATTAAACAAGCTAAAATTCTGACTGGGTTCAACGCTATTTAGGTCATTCCCATTGGATATACCGATATAGTATGACGTCCAATTTTAAAAGCCCAGTAACTACCATTGCCGAATTGGAAAGGCCCATTTCAGTTCGACTGAAGCTGGACTCTATCAAAAATGAAATTTGCTAAACTGAAATTTGCTATATGCTTCATAAAATTATGGCAACACAACACACATAAACCCGCACGCTTTTATATGTTTTTGTAAACTGTAATACAAAATAGAATACGACGAAGTATCTTAACGATCATGCGCTGATGACTTATCTGAAACAGGTGAAAGAATCTAATTTGAATTCCATTAAAGTCCATTGAATTCACTAATTCAATAACACCCACTAAATGTATTAACCTTCTGACATAGACCTAGCTAGCGAAGTAGAAAGAGACGGAGTGAGATATTCTGTAACAAATGGCAAGCAGTGTATAAATTATGTTAAACAGCAAGAAGTGTGTAGAGATTCCTAACATAAATACCCTCCAGAAACTAAAAGAATCAGAAATTTCCAGTTTGATATAGAATAAGTGTTCTCACAGTACTATCATTCTAATTTAAATTCTAGTTATGTAGAAAATAGTAAAACGATAGAGATAGTATTTGAAAGAGACCATTCCACTTGCTAAGCAAATATCTCCTCCTCTCTCCATGGCCCCTCTAGAAGCTTTTAACATCTTTATCTGTATGCGTAAACTCGCACGTAGATAAGATCAATACTCATTAGGATAAGCGCAAAGGTCTTATTCAAGTGTTTAATAAAACTCTACTTGAAGGAAAAAAAAGAAAGAAAGTCTATCCAAGTGTACTAAAAAGTGTGGAAAAGGTAAAATAACTAGTAGCCCAAATATGTGAGTTATTTATCATTGTTCTAGTGGGAAAGAATCGGTTATACTATGCATCTAGTATCATCTGGCTCGCCGCTGTCGTACTTATGTGAACATTGTGACTAATGCTACTATAGTCTTTGGCATTTTCCGAAAATTGGGACACGGCTAACGAATATTTTAAGAGTTTGAATATATCAAATTATTTAAGTACATTACACATCTAATTAAAATGTGTTTTCCAATAAATACAATACTAAACAAGAGATAGATGACAGAAGACAGCGTATGCTTTGACCTGTCTGATCGCGGAATATAGTTAATTGTCTAATACATAACACATCTAACTAAAATGTGTGTTTCCAATATTTTATTAAACAAAAGATAGATGACAAAAGACAGATGACAAAAGACACAGGGTATGCTCTTTGATCTATGTGATCTCGGAACTATACAGCCTTTTGTAAATCCATTGTTCCAGCTTTTGGCAAAAGCACGTTGTGATTTTCTTTAACAAAACAATGTATAAAACAATTAAAACATCAAGCTATAAATGAATGTGTTAGAACTGCGTAGACTGAAAATTTCAAAATGGTTCATCTACGATATTAAAAAAAAACATATATCTTATATACTTGTAAGTTATCATTTCTCATATTCGACTGTTAAAGTACATATTAAATAACGTACATGTTGTACTATGTATTTTTAGTTGATAAAAACAGCTTAGACGAGTATTTTCAATTAATATACAGGTCAAACACATAAAGTTACAACTATAGAATCTAGCTGAACAGGCAAAACAAAACCCCTGAGGTCAAAGCTTAATTGTTATTACAGCTGACTAATACTATTAGTAAACTGATTATTACATTCAATTGAGAAAGAATAAATTTGCTGTAAATGGTAGAGATGACTGAAATGAATAAATAAAATTAAAAGAATGAAATAATATGAATGAAATGTGATAGAAAAATGAAGTAAATTCATTCCATTTATTTCTTATCAAATTTATAACAGAATATTTATTTGTATTTTGTTTATTTTTTTAGAGTTGATGGAATAACCATTTCATTCTATTTTTTATCATAAAACGTTTTGGAGATTTTTTCTTATTTTCAAATTACATGATTTTTTTAACAATTATGCAATATGACATTTTATACTATGCTTAATGAGTTTATTGATTAAATATAGGTAGTTAATAATTAATGATGTTTTAATCTAAACAAGGAATATAAAATTAAATATTTTATTAAACTGTGCACCAAACTCCAAAACATCTTATAATAAAAAAAAAGTTATTCTTGGGTTCACCATCCAACAGTATTTCACTATTTTATATTTGATATCTTTCAAAAAAGAAAACAAAATCTTGTTAAGTTATATTATATTTTTAAAAATAAAAATACAAAAATAAATAAAAAATAATAACAATTAATAAAAACGAAAATGATCTTTTTTTAAAGAAAATATTTTAACACTAAACCCTAAACTCTAATCCTAAAACCTAAACCCCTAGGTAAATCATAAACCTTTGGATAACTTTTATAAAAAAAAAAAGTTCTTTAAAAAAAATGTTTTAACACTAAACCCTAAAATCTAATCCTAAACCCTAAACCCTTGGGTAAATCATAAACACTGAACCCTAAACTCTAATTCTAAACCCTAAACCCTTGGGTAAATCATAAACACTAAACCCTAAACTCTAATCCTAAACCCTAAACCCTTGGGTAAATTATAAATATTAAAATTTTAAAACACTATAAGATTTATCTAAAGGTTTATGATTTAACCATAGATTTAGGGTTTGTGATTATAGTTTAGGGGTTAATGCTAAAATATTTTCTTTAAAAAGAATTATTTTCGTTTTTATTTATTTATTTATTTTCTATTTTTATTTTTAAAAACATAATATAACTTAACAAGATTTTCTTTCTTTTTTAAAAAGATATCAAATATGAAATAGTGCAATCCTATTGGATGGTGAACCTAGAGGTTCACCCTTAGGGGTGAACTCAAGAATAAGTCATAAAAAAAAGGAGGGAGTAGTAATTTTGTAATTAATGGAATTGATCATTTTTCACATTTGTTTCATTCTAAAACGGTTATCAAATAGACAAAGCAACTGAAAGGGTAGATTCGTAATTCATTACTTACGAACACCTTTTTAAGTTGGACTCTTCCTTCCCTGTGTTCTTCTTCCAGAGAAAAAAAAAAACAGAGTAAAGCTTTTGAAAAGCAGAGCTCAAAGAGCGCCTTCTCTTGTCCGCTAAGTTCAAACGCAGAGACGAACGATCATAGAGATGGGAGAGGTGATAATATTCATCGAAGATAAATATATGAATTCGAGTTACTCACGCTGCAGAATTTGTCACGAAGAAGAAGCAGAGAGATACTTTGAAGCTCCTTGTTCTTGCTCCGGCACCGTCAAGGTATAGAAATCAACATCTCAATCTTGAAACCTGCTTCTTTCTATTGTGTTTTGCTATTTGAATTCGAATTCTTAAGATATGTTTTGCTTCGTTTGATCAGTTCGCTCATAGAGATTGCATACAACGATGGTGCGATGAGAAAGGAAACACGATTTGTGAAATATGTCTCCAGGTTTTTTTTTTTTTTTTTTTTTTGCCTACCAAATGTTTTTTTATTAATAATCAAGTTTTACAAGCTGTTTAAGAAACTCAGGACATTAATAATACACAGCTGTTTCTTCTAAGTTTTATTCAGTGATCAAAACGCTACGTGTTTTTTTTTTTTTTTTTGGACTGAAGGCTAAAAACGCTACGTGTTTCAAAGACGTATTATGTTATCCTTTGTGTTCCGTAATCTTTTTGCATTATTAAAAAATAAAATATTAGTGAGCCAATGCCATCTTGTCAATGATATAATATGGGGATTTTTAAAATAATTTTGTTTGTTTAATATCAATTGATTAAATGAAAATGGTAACTGGATGATCCATCGTTTTATGGGTCCCATAGCTTGGTTTGGTGCACGTATTTTCTAATTATGGCTAAATAATTACGAATAATTTCTCTAAAACGATTTTGATGCTATTTATTTTGAGAAAAAATCATCCAACGATTCTGATTTCATTTTGTTAGTCCTCAAGGTTTTAGTTTTATAGACTTCGGTTTGGTCTCTTGGTTTTAGAAAGAAGTTTATAACCTTGCATTGCAGGATTATAAACCTGGATACACCACGACTTCAAAACCATCTCGTTTAGTTGAACCAGCAGTCGCAGCCAGGTAATTAGTTCCCTTTTAAAGACAAAAAGTTAGATTTATTGAGCTTGGAAGATTTTAATTACATTATAGATTGAGAACTGAAATTGTTCATATTATATAAATATTTCTTCACAGGCCGCGTGACGTATTAATCTTTTATTATATTTGATTCAAATAACAACAATGATTGTAGGACGAGGAGACAATATGGAGGGAGAAGAAATAGAAGATTAGTGGACAGAACTGAATCACAATTTCCTGAATGCAACTCTGAAGCTGACAGATGCGCTTCTTGTTGTAGATACTTGGCTCTCCTTGTAAGTACTCATTTATTTGTTTTTACATAGATATAGTCAGGTAATATGATAATAATATTCGTTTGACTTTTACTAATAATTAGATTATTAGATGATTTAAACTGAATGATGCGAGGATAAGAAAATGATTTGGTTTAGTGAGGTCCAAATCAGAGATGGGAACCACTACTATTGATTAAACATAACATTTAAGGTTTGCATGATTAATAAACCACAAACGAGATAAGACATCCGCTTGGTTTATCATTGTCAACACGTAATTGTTAACAAAAGTTAGTAAATGATAACAACATATACCACTGATTTTTTTATAAAAGAAAATTAAAAATTTCGTTTATTATCCTTTGAGCACCATTTGTCACCCACCAACTGTATCCACCATCCAACCGGGCTTAAAAGCAGGTTTATCTATATGCCCGACATCTTTGAAACAACCTAATAAGATTGTAAACACACTGCATGCTATCTTTGAACGACTTCATAAACCTACAAGATTAGAGAGATTGTTAGGATTCGTGACAAAAAAAGACACTTAGGTATGGTTAGTTAGTTTGGTCGACCAAGAACCTATAAGCCTTCAACAAGAGAACCCTTTGGTGTCACCTACCCAAAAAGGGTTTCTTCTTTTGGAACCCAAAGAATGTCTGTCATGGTTCACAGTTGTTAGTGCATCACGTTGCCCATGTGTCGTGTCGTGTCGTTTTATAGCTTTAACCCATATTTGTTAAAGCTATGCCCAAATTGAACCTGGCCAATTTTATTTGGACTAAATATCGTATCATAACATATCTTTATTCTTTTTTTTAGCAATACATATCTTTATTCTTATGATACATCTTTTACGGCGTGACCTTTATTTTATTGGAATTAATCTATTTATATTTTATTCTTTTTGAAGCTATCGGTGATTTTGTTGATAAAGCATGCGTTTGACGTGGTTTATGGAACCGACGAGTATCCCTTCACCATTTTCACGGTATTTAGCTCTTCCCTTTTCTAACTATTACTCCCTCTGTTTCAATATAAGTGTCACTCTACAGCTATGCACACGGATTAAGGAAACAATTAATTTTACACATTTCCTATATAAAAACACAATTACCCATACACCTAACCATATTTTAACCAATAGAAAAATAAATTACATAATAAAATTAATAAACTTTACATTGAAAACCGAAAACGACACTTATTTTGTAACACAAAAAATTATCTACAATGACACTTAATATAAAACGGAGGGAGTAGTATATAACTTGATAAAAAATAAATGATTGATTAGAATTGATAATTAATACTCCATCTAGTTTTGTATGCTTTAAATTTTAAATTGGTTGGGGGAAATTAATGGCAGGTATTAACACTGAAGGCCATTGGTATACTATTGCCAATGCTCGTAATCATTCGGACTATCGCAGCTGTTCAGAGCAGTCTCCGACGTCAGTTTATCGTAAGCTCCTAAAAAACATTTCCACTTCTCATCATCATCATTTACCATATTCTAAATAAGTAGGTCAAATATTTAGATTTGGTAAAGTTGGTTTAATTTTACCCAAAATATGAATACATTAATCAAATATTGTAGCACTTCATTACTTGTCTTTAGTTGTATCTCTATGTTCACTTTTAATTGTTGGAATTTTAATAGGAATCTGAAGAAGATACGTTAAGCTCTGAAGATGATGATGGCTTGGAGGAGGAAGAGCAACAGCAACATTTGGCTTGATCTTTTTTGTTCTCGTCATCATCATGTTAAGATCCAACACATACAAATAGGAATCTGTAACCACTAGAAACTGTTAATTAATAATCATAAATATCTTTAAGCTATAAAACAAGATTAGAGGATATATAAAATACTTGATTTCACCTTCATCCAACATCTCACATACTGTTTTACCTACAAGCAGATGGGGAAGATAAGACAACGCTAAAGCCGATGTCGTCTGAGTCAGTGGTGTTGATTGGAGAAGGTGGTCACGAGCAGAGAGAAAGACAGGTGAAAATAACTGATTGTGAATGTTAATGCATTGACAACTCATACAAGAAAGAAAGGTCACAAGAACATCTGCACCCGTATGGCTAAACCTAATTAAAACACCTTAAACCCTAATTAAATTTGAGAAAGATGTCAATAAAAGAGCATGTATATAAATATATTATTTAACTTGAGAAGTTAAAGAAGCTTTTCCACAGTTCAAAAATTAAGGGATACAAAAGCTCGAAAGCAAGGTTAGAGGATATATAAAGTGAGAGGACTAGTGAGTGTAGAAATACTTGGTTGGGAGAAATAGATACGTGTTCACATTTTAAGTACATTTTCAACGGGATTTTGACGGTGGGATTTTTAATGAAATATAAGAATCCGCCTTTTAACTTTAAAAAAAATTAAGAATCGATTTTTAAATATCTGATTTCAGAATGAGTTCTTACATTTTTAGTTAAAAGTTAAAAGACGAATTCTTATATTTTGGTAAGAATTCTATCATAAAAACCCTTAATTGAAGATGGTCTAAGTAAATATAGCGCGAAATTTAGCCGACAGGTGAAGAGATGGATGATAGTGATTTACACATTTAAAAGATTTAAAATCGGTTTTCCATAAAAAAAGTGTGGCTGCTGGGAATTCGAGCCCATGTCTCCACGGCCACAACGCTGGGATACTTACCACTATATGGAGTAATATTTTGAATTCTCAAAGCGATGATGTTTTGTTTTTCTTTCCCAAGTGCGAAATAACTATCATTGATGTTCGTATATGTTTGTTTTTAGAAGACACTTTATAGTAGCACAAACATTAAAGAAATGTTTTTTTTCTTCTTCGAATTATCACCAGTTTTACAATTTAATTACTATTCTTATTGAATAATAAATTCATAAGATAAGCTTATAAATACATGCATACTTATTTTTGATTATGAGCATACAATTTGGCTATACGATGATTACTAAATGTAAGTTATGCATAGTATTTTTCTTTCAAAGTTCTAGAAAACGAACATAAAAACATAGTTTTTCAATGAGAAATATCAAAGGAAATTTAGGAGTTTCAGAAAACTGAGACAAAAGGAAAAACCTTAAAACAAATAAAATAGAGTTCAAAATTCTGGTGTAGTAACGCAGAATAGCATTATAATTTCCTCAGGTCCACGTCTACTGAGAACAATCTGCTGGTTCTGGTTCATAGCCATAGTTGAAGAAAAGTTCCTCGCCTTCGCCGATATTTTTATTCGCAAACAAACCAATCCTATGGTCTCCTCTCACATTCATCAACTGCACACGAAACCATATATCATAAAGTTAGAAAGATCATCATTTTATGTGATTAATCATTAATTGTACATTAGAACCAATCAACAACGATTTAGTTGATACTAATACATACATATATAATTTTTGCATTAATAAATCAATATTTTTTAAAAAATGAATCAGTGTTTGTCTAGGGTTAATACATGTCTGAGATTAAAGTACAGTGACTTGGTACCTTGGCGTAGCAGTTTGGATTTTTTGATGTGTGATTGAGAAATTTAAGCTTGTTTCCCTTACGGCGAGCATCAATGCAGAACTGTAATGAGAATAAACTTGTAACTTGTGACTAATAAACATCTACATACCTGTCTGAAGAAGAGTTCAGAGACTAAAGTTACCTTATCATTCAAGGTAAAGAGATAGGAAAAATTAGTCTTTTTTTCTTCTCGCCCACGTTCATCTGCTTCCTCAAAAGAAACCAACTCGCCAGTATATTCTCCGAGAAACTCGTTTTTCTTTAGAGAGTGCTGATAAATCAACTCAGAGAGTATATATATCATTAATGTCTAAATTTGCAAAAAACTTTAAAACAAAGAAAGAAAGAGGAAGATATATTCACGCGTACAGGAAGGTAGTATTACTGGGACCAAGTTAGTCCGACTCTAAACACTTCTAGCAAGTGTTATAGTATATATGATCTACCTAAAGCTGATTACAAGAACATAAGCAATTAAGAGGAATGCATTATAAAACTTTGTTTTAATAATCGTTAACACACTTTTTTTTTTGCTTGTCAGTTTGATCCTTATCATGAAAACCTTATATAGTTTTATTGGTGTTTTCGACCCTTGGTGTTAATTAAAACCCATATTCTGATATTAGTATATGATTACTTACCCGTGTATATGCACCCCATCCATGAACATCAGACCTTGCAAGGAGAATCTAGTAAACAATAAAAAAATGACGAATAAATTAGCAATATTTCTATTGTCGATATAAAAATCACCATATGCTGATTTCATGTCGATGGGTTACCTTCTTATGTTTCTTAAGGAGGAATTGCATGTTCTTGCATTGGCTTGGCTGTGATGCCTCACCGAGAGAGCCATCTCCACAGCTATATAAAACAAAATTTTCTTAGAACATTTTTGTTTGTTAAGATTTAATCATATCGAATTTATATTAATAGGAAATGTTACCTAAGCGAACAATTGCTACAAAGATCTGGATCGCATTCACGAGAAAGTGAAAAGCAAAGACATTGTCTGTTAATGCATTGACCCTTTGCACACTTACATCCTCCAAAACGATTCTTGCATGTCTTTAGACACCTGGATAAAAGACTTACAATATAAGGTCTGTAACCTATTGGTTTAGGATACTGTCATTGGTGTACCTCTACTTTAGATTCAAACTCGCATAATAATAATTTTTTTTTTGCTGAATATACCCTTGTTAAGTTTTCTCCCCGCAAACTCAAAATCACATAAATTGGTTAGAATAGTCTATACTAATGTCATGGAAAACTGAGTTTGCGATTAGAGTTCAAGATTGTTTTGGACTGTGAATATGAAGATTAGTGACACATACCCGCAATACTTCTCACAGCAATTTCCGCTTGTTAAGCAAGGGCATTCCTCTCCACATACTGGCTCGCATGTGCATGGTGTGTACTGCTTATACATCTTATTTAATTCCTTAGCTGAATTTTTTATAGCAAGTGGATAACCAACATGCTTTTTGGTTCGGACTATCTTAGTTTTTTTCCGAGATATCTCTTTATTAACCTGTAATGAAATCATCAGTAAGAATTAACAAAATAAAGATAAATTTCATGAGGACTGCATATTTAACTTTACCTGATTGTCTATCTCTGGAGTTTGATCCTGCAGCTCGCGCATGTAATTGTAAACCTCAAAACACGTCTTATGTCCGGGAAGTAAGTTTCTTGTAATAAGACAACTGCGGCCAGCGCATGGACAAGAACAAATCAAATTGTAAGTATATATATACTGGAAAATCAGCATTAGATAAGATAAAAATATCAAGGAACACATCAAGTTTTACGGAGCCTTTTTCTATCTAAAAAAAACTAAAATCAATGAAAAGATGATAATCCGGATGTATAAATATAACTTTTTTTTTTCCGGTCTAACGTACATTTGTAAATTTGTGTGTGACCAAATGTTTCAGTTTTGATAAAGATTATTTTATGAAGAAACAGCGAAATTGATATTTTAGAATATTGCATGTTAGTATGACTATATTTTATATTTTACCTGTTTCTCCCATAGATTGCAACTCCTCGCAAGTAAAGATTCTTGTGAAAAGGCGTCCACTCATTATGTGCTTGTGACATCTCTGTAATATCTTTTATTAGTTTTTAGGATCAGTTAATACACAGTCTCCAGTTTATGTGTTCGTACCTGAGACCACATTCTTGTCTTTCTTGTTTGATATAGAGTTATCATTATCCACCACATGATCAGCTTCTATGACACTCCTAAGCTATTAAACCAGTAATAATCATAATTAATAAATGAACAAAATATTGTGTGTGGGAGATATGGAGGGAGTTACCTTAAGGTAACAATGCTTACTGCATTGTTTTTCAGCATCTTCCCTCTCATTCAAATTAGATTTTTTTTCTCTCTGACAAGCCAAAATCATCAAATTAATTAATCGCCAAACTTTAATTATAAGGCGTTAATTATACATGCAACGCAAAAAATAAATAAATTGAAGCTTACAGGCAGAGGCTGATATTCGTCATGCATATGACAGTCGAATATCTGTAAAAATTAATAGTAAAACATGTATAATATATGTATGTATATATTTTGGTGACAAAAAATAAACATCCAAAAGTTACCAAGCAACGGCGGCAAAAAGGCTTATCAGCAGTCGCCGGAACAGAAGTAAATTTGCTTCTACCAGATCCATCACTATTAAGCTTATTGAGCTCATTGTACCTCTCCTACATTATATCGAAATTAAAACATTTCTCACGAGAAAAAATGAGAAAAAGTAAACAGGAAGATTATATTGATCGATCGTTAACAATATAAAAAGATTATTGATTGATGGATCATAATACTCGATTCTGTTATTACCAAAATGTCTGAGTCATTCAAATAAAGGAACTTGGCTATCTTCTGCACCACAACCGGATCATCCAAACTATATTTCTGACCAATCTTCCTACAAAATCATTGATTACGTTAGTATTAACAACGTATAATAGTGGACCGTACGTCTCAATATCTATCGGTAAAGAATAGTAAAGTCTCAATTCATGTAAATATATATAACACAACGTTAAATAATTTCAGAAACGAAGTTGTATATGAACGCACTACTTTGCATGCATATATAAGTGATCGCTTAATAACCAATAACGTATATAACGCAAAAAAAAAAAAACTAACCACATAAGCCGATCAACCTCTGGAGAAAACAATAATCTTTGTTTCCTTGCTTTTTCAGACTGTGTCTTGTCAGGACTCAGTTCCACTGTCTCACCATTCACATAATGGTATTGTTTCTTACCAACCACCGACTCACTTGCAGCCATTAGCTGATTACTGCCATGTTGACGACATATATAGATGCTATATGAGTGATTTACATATTGCATATGATTGATTGTTGAAATTAATGTGAAACCAAAACATGCCTGTCCGTGAAAATCCAGGTAATAGATCGAGGTAGCTTTTTGACAAATGGAAGCTTGGTAACCTCTTCATCAGGAATTTTAAATGTAACTTCTTCATAAGAAATATCATCATTTTCATTGAAATGATGGACTAGAGGTTCCTCTCTCCAAGAAAGCATTTTGATGGCTGTTTCATTGTTAGGCTTTCCATTGTGCAGGGTTAAGGGATGCAAATGATTATGGAAAGCATGAGCATCCACACTCCGTGAGACTCTCGACTTGAATTTATTCTGTTAATCAAATAAGATAAAAAATTATCTTAGAACTGAATGTACAATGTTCATGTGGTTTCACCCTTAGCTTTTATAGATAGTTGATTGACTTCTGATGATCCTTATAATCAAGTGTTTGATCAGTTTTTATGTCCGGGTTATTATATATTTGGACCGAAAATAAGGATTGACAAAGTTGATAGATCCACTCCAAAAATTATTATATTTTATAGGTGATTAATTCTATCATCTCTTTTCAATGTAAGATATGTTTATATATATTGTTGTGACGGACTGGATGTCCCGAGCCAGATGTTTTATTAGAGTTAGATCGGATGTCTGTGCTAGAGGCTACTCAATTGGAACCAGACATCTGTCACCAAATGAATTCCTTGCTTAATGTGAAATTGTCCACTATAGACTAAAATTCTCATGAATTTGTTTTTGAATTATTACTCTAAAAAAATTTCATACTAAGTGGGATTGAATCATATATATATATATTAAATTTTATTTTGTCTAATATTCGATGTGAAATTTGGATTAACTCTTTATTTATCCTAACATATAGTTAGCAAAAATAATGTGAAGAAACAACCAAGAATTACTTACATTGATATGATCAGATCTTTCTTTTCCAATTTGGGCTTTGACCTCTTTCAAGTAGGATAGAAACTCCTTGTATTTTTTACCCTTTTTCAAAACAAAATCAACAATAAAAGAGAAGTAAATCACGAAAAAATTTATACAAGAAAAAAAAGAGAAGCATGATCATCTATACACAAAAACCAAATAAATGACGAAATTTATACTGGTTCTCGCATCTCAGCAGTTTTAGGGATCATCGGATGCATAACATAAATTCTATCCGAAGAAATATCCAACATAAAATGTTATTTACCTGGGCTTATCGTTACAATCAACAAAATCCTATGTTATTAGACTTGTAAATTCAGATATGTTTTGTGTTGCATAGTATTGCTCGAATTCTAGATTATGTGGCTGATTTAGATTCTAGTGGACTCGAATACGAAAGAGTTTTGGAGATTTTCAAACAATCTCCGGTTCCACTTTAAACAAGTTAAATAGTTAGAAAGCAAGTTAGAATAAGTGTAAAAAACATGTAAATTTACCTTCTCCATCACCTCTCACTTCTTATTTTCAAGGTCTTTCTGATATTGTTGGAAGCGAATGCATGTGGTTTATATAGATAGAGAAAAGAAATCATCATGGATTGAAAGGAAGACAATATGAAAACATAAGGAATGTTTTATTGTAGATATAATACTTAATATGTGTGGTTGTTAACCGAGCCAGTTCTAGACATAGCGAAATAAAATATTCGATTTTACAAATAAATCTATTGGTACATTGTATTTGTATTTTGTGACAATGTATACACGCTTAAAAGAGTTTGCCCTAAACTCGATTCTCCAGCAGTCTCCGTTGACATCCTTTGACATTGTTTCCAGGTGTCGACGCGCCTCCGCTCGCCGACGATGCTAATATTGCTTTCTTCTTCTATTTCTGTGTTTTCTGTATTTTATTTGTGCTCTCTCTTTTGTAGTTTTCACTCTTTCTGCTCACTGCTTGGTTTCTTTCTTGCTTGAGATAGCGCGAGTGATCTCAAATCACGGTTTGGAGCCACCAAAATTACTCGTTCTATTAGAGACTAAGTCTACCCACGTCGAGTGGTGGAATGTATCATATCAAATATATAAGATAGATGGATCAGTTCATTAATCACCAATTTGTTTTAAGTTGGAAGCTCATCAAATTTAACATGGTATCAGAACCCGATCCAAATAATCCAACTCGATCCAATCATAGTTGGCCAATAGACCCTTGCACGAAAATAGAGCTCCCCTCCTCGCTAGAACCTCTTCATTGGATCCTCTCTCAGATCTGTGAGCCATGTCTCCTCAATATATTTTCAAGTTTCCAGAGGCTTCTAACCATAGACATTCACCGAAACTCCATTTCTCTCTCACCACAAGTTTTCCTCTCTCTACTTACTCTTGTTGAACGGATGACTATTGTCTATGGGATTCCACACTTGACCAATCATTTAGATCTGGAAGCTCATCATTTGAAATATTCTCCTCAAATAGAAACCATCATCTAAGTCCCTATTCTGAAACCCTCCTCTGTGGATCTGTTGAGATCTGATGCACTAGCGGAGTGTCTGTTCTACCTTTGACATATCCTGCCATGAACCCAGACGACGCCAGTGAAGATATATTACCATTTTCTGTTGCTGTGTGCCTCTCGTTTTGTGGCAACCGCTTCAACTAAAGTGTTTAAAAATTCTTGATAGCATTTATCAAAAAATTCAATTTTTTCAAAGGGGTTAACCCACATATTTCAAGAAAAAATAGAATTTTTTTATATTTGTTTTAATGCATATTTTCATCATGAACTGACATATTATGAAGATTAAAGAGGTTTGAGACCTTATGTGTTCTTATTTCTCTACAAAATAAAATTTTTATCGGGATTATGACACTAATTAGATCGTATATCAAGTTTAAATAAACTACGCGTTGGAAAGTTAGATATGATGACCATGTACTACGAAAATATGTTAGGAGTACATTAATATACATTGAGAGTGTGGTTTGGTATGTTTAAACAATACTAAAGTGTTTAAAAATTCTTGATAGTATTTATCAAAAAATTCAATTTTTTCAAAGGGGTTAACCCACATATTTCAAGAAAAATTAGAATTTTTTTTATATTTGTGTTAATGAATATTTGCCTCATGAACTGTCATATTATGAAGATTAAAAAGGTTTTAGACCTTATGTGTTCTTATTTCTCTACAAAATAGAGATTTTATCGGGATTATGACACTAATTAGATCGTATATCAAGTTTAAATAAACTATGCGTTGGAAAGTTAGATATGATGACCATGTACCATGAAAATATGTTTAGAGTACATTAATATACATTGAGAGTGTGGTTTGGTAATTTTAAACAACACTAAAGTGTTTAAAAATTCTTGATAGCATTTATAAAAAAATTCATTTTTTTCAAAGGGGTTAACCCACATATTTCAAGAAAAATTAGAATTTTTTTATATTTGTTTTAATGCATATTTGCATCATGAACTGACATATTATGAAGATTAAATAGGTTTGAGACCTTATGTGTTCTTATTTCTTTACAAAATAGAGATTTTATCGGGATTATGACACTAATTAGATCGTATATCAAGTTTAAATAAACTACGCGTTGGAAAGTTAGATATGATGACCATGTACCATGAAAATATGTTTAGCCTACATTAATATACATTGAGAGTGTGTTTTAGTACCTTTAAACAACACTAAATTGTTTAAAAAATTCTAGATAGCATTTATCAGAAAATTCAATTTTTCCAAAGGGGTTAACCCACATATTTCAAGAAAATTAGAATTTTTTTTTAATTTTTATTTTAAGGCATATTTGCATCATTAACTGGCATATTATAAATAATAAAGAGGTTTGAGAACATATGTGTTCATATTTTCTAGAAAATAGGGATTTTACAGAGGTTAGGTCACTAATTAGAACGTATATCAAGTTTTAATAAACTACGGGTTGGAAAGTTAGAAATGATGACCATGTACCATGAAAATATATTTAGTCTACATTAATATACATTGAGAGTGTGGTTTGGTAATTTTAAAAAACACTGAAGTGTTTAAAAATTCTTGATAGCATTTATCAAAAAATTCAACTTCTTCAAAGGGGATAACCTACATATTTCAAGAAAAATTAGAAATTTTTTTATATTTGTTTTAATGCATATTTGCATCATGAACTGGCATATTATGAAGATTAAATAGGTTTGAGACCTTATGTGTTCTTATTTCTGTACAAAATAGAGATTTTATCAGGATTATGACACTAATTAGATCGTATATCAAGTTTAAATAATCTATGCGTTGGAAAGTTAGATATGATGACCATGTACCATGAAAATATGTTTAGAGTACATTAATATACATTGAGAGTGTGGTTTGGTAATTTTAAACAACACTAAAGTGTTTAACAATTCTTGATAGCATTTATCAAAAAATTCATTTTTTTCAAAGGGGTTAACCCACATATTTCAAGAAAAATTAGAATTTTTTTATATTTGTTTTAATGCATATTTTCATCATGAGCTGACACATTATGAAGATTAAATAGGTTTGAGACCTTATGTGTTCTTATTTCTTTACAAAATAGAGATTTTATCGGGATTATGACACTAATTAGATCGTATATCGAGTTTTAATAAACAATGGGTTGGAAAGTTAGAAATGATGACCATGTACCATAAAAATATGTTTAGCCTACATTAATATACATTGAGAGTGTGTTTTAGTACCTTTAAATAACACTAAAGTATTTAAAAAATTCTAGATAGCATTTATCAGAAAATTCAATTTTTCCGAAGGGGTTAACCCACATATTTCAAGAAAATTAGAATTTTTTTTTAATTTTTATTTTAAGGCATATTTGCATCATTAACTGGCATATTATAAATAATAAAGAGGTTTGAGAACATATGTGTTCATATTTTCTAGAAAATAGGGATTTTACAGAGGTTAGGTCACTAATTAGAAAGTATATCAAGTTTTAATAAACTACGGGTTGGAAAGTTAGAAATGATGACCATGTACCATGAAAATATATTTATTCTACATTAATATACATTGAGAGTGTGGTTTGGTAATTTTAAAAAACACTGAAGTGTTTAAAAATTCTTGATAGCATTTATCAAAAAATTCAACTTCTTCAAAGGGGTTAACCTACATATTTCAAGAAAAATTAGAAATTTTTTTATATTTGTTTTAATGCATATTTGCATCATGAACTGGCATATTATGAAGATTAAATAGGTTTGAGACCTTATGTGTTCTTATTTCTGTACAAAATAGAGATTTTATCAGGATTATGACACTAATTAGATCGTATATCAAGTTTAAATAAACTACGCGTTGGAAAGTTAGATATGGTGACAATGTACCATGAAAATATGTTTAGTCTACATTAAGATACATTGAGAGTGTGGTTTGGTAATTTTAAACAACACTGAAGTGTTTAAAAATTCTTGATAGCATTTATCAAAAAATTCAATTTTTTCAAAGGGGTTAACCCACATATTTCAAGAAAAATTAGAAAATTTTTAATATTTGTTTTAATGCATATTTGCATCATGAACTGACGTATTATGAAGATTAAAGAGGTTTGAGATCTTATGTGTTCTTATTTCTCTACAAAATAGAGATTTTATCGGGATTATGACACTAATTAGATCTTATATCGAGTTTTAATAAACTACGGGTTGGAAAGTTAGAAATGATGACCATGTACCATGAAAAAATGTTTAGCCTACATTAATATACATTGAGAGTGTGTTTTAGTACCTTTAAACAACACTAAAGTGTTTAAAAAATTCTAGATAGCATTTATCAGAAAATTCAATTTTTCCAAAGGGGTTAACCCACATATTTCAAGAAAAATTAGAAGTTTTTTTTAATTTTTATTTTAAGGCATATTTGCATCATTAACTGGCATATTATAAATAATAAAGAGGTTTGAGAACATATGTGTTCATATTTTCTAGAAAATAGGGATTTTACAGAGGTTAGGTCACTAATTAGAAAGTATATCAAGTTTTAATAAACTACGGGTTGGAAAGTTAGAAATGATGACCAT